TTGTTGTCCTATGAATTACGTTGTATGACCATGAATTCCTGAACACAAACACACACACACACACACACAAACACACAAAGGACAAGGACACACTCCAGTGAAAACTCCACACAGGTATATTACACACGCAAACAAGCAAAAGTGCTTATCTTTGTACTCAGTCTTATTCTCTTTATAAATCATCTCCATTATGTTCTATTGAATAAAGTAAATCTTAAAACTTATTCTGTCTAAAAATTCAAAGTTTTCAATTTTACTTCTATCAATACATATTTTAGAAGTAAAACATTTTAACATTTAATAAATTTTCAAATATTTAATAAGGGCAAAATAGTAAAAATAGACTCCCTCAATCTCAAATTATAAAACACTTTGGAGAGATTTGGTATTTCAAAATACAAGATACTTTATAAACAATAAAATTTTATTAAATAAAATTTATTTCAGTGTTATCCTTTCTCTTTCTATATTTAATTTTTATCTCTCTTTTTTTTAAAATATATTAAATGAAGGATATTTTTTAAAGTTTATATTTTGTTTTTGAAAAAAATAAGATTATTAAGTGTATTTAATAAAATTTATTAGTATATGAGATTTTGTTCAAAAATATCTTATAATTTAAGATGAAGTGAGTACATAAAAATAAATAAGATGTCTTATAAATATAACTAAAATAGATACTCTTTCCCTTACTTATAAATAATAAAATAATAGGACTTAAGAGCATGCTGCAGGGGATTCATGACCGTGTGAATATGTGGATTATATCAACCTATTTCCAGAATGCTCTGTGACTTGATCAACACTATTTTAAACTAAATCTCGTTACAAAGCTGGCGTAGTGAAGTTGCTTTTGAATAATCTGATGACTTCTATAATTCGATTAAGTAATTTCATTTCATTTTGGGAGAATAACATATAGGTTTCAAGAAGACTAATTAATTTAAATTAAATTTTAAGTGTCAAATTCTAAAAATTTATAAGTTCGTCTCTCAATTTTATAATTTTTTTGTGATAAATTTATAAATTATTTTTTAAATTTTAATATGACTAAAGAATAAATAATTTTTTTCTTATTAAAATTTAAAAGATAAATTGTAAATTCATGACAAGAAAATTATAAAATTAAAAACTGAATTTGTAAAGTTCTGGAGCTTGACACTTGAAATCTAATTTGAATCTATTTCGTTCTCCCTTTCATTTTTTGTTATTAGCAACGAACAAATAAATAGAGAATCCCAACAAGTAAAAATAGACGAGGCTTGAATTTGGCGTTGGCTCGATTAATATGTAGCTCATTCATCTTCTTATTTAATTTTTGTTAGATTACAGTATGTCCAATCATAGGGTAATGCTTTGCTGGTATGATCTGGTCACTTGAACAGATAAACTAATTACAGAAAACTCATGTCATGCCGAAAAATTATTATGGAAAATAGCGGACAAATTGAAATATTATGAATGTCGAGGCCTGTTGGATTTGATTTGGAGGAAATAATTTTAATGAAACAAATTAATATGAATAAAGGTAAGAAAGGAATGAGAATAAGTATGCATGACTGAATGAAAGAACTTCGTTTACGGTGCTTTTGTAAGGCTGAGTGAAACTTCAATTATTGCTTGAGATAAATTTTCAATCATCAGATAATAGAGCTCAGAATATGAGCGGGCTTGGCCCTTAAAGATTTAAGTTCTAAAGTCTGATTTTTTATTTTGAATTTCATTTCTCTAGCCCAGTCCTTATGTGAAGGGTTCAAGGCCGGGCCTGCAAGTCCTTTTTTAAAAAATAAAAATAATAAAAATAAAATTAAATATTATAAATTAATTAAAATATTATGAAATTAAAAAAATAAAATTCTCATAATTTTTTAAAAATTAAACAACACACATTTAGAAGTCTAGTAATAAAATTTAAATCTTGGTTAAAAACAATTCATTTTTTATAAATATACAAATATAATAGTTATAGAAAAATAAAACATATCAAGAATTTTATACTATACACTAGTATTTATTAAATTATATTAAATTAATTTTAAAATAAACTAAAATTAATAATAATATAATGTGCGTAGGATCAGGTAAGCATGTCATTGGCTTCAAATATGTGTTTCACCAAATAAAATAATAATAATAATAATATAACAAGACTTGAAAGGCTACCCGAGCTCGAGCCTTTTTTTATAGGACTTATCAAAGCCAAGCCCTCAAGCCCGATTACTTAAAAAAAATTATTTTCAAAACCCAAATCCTTATTTAAATAGGGTCTTTAAGTCTGGTCCTTATTTTAAACTCTAACAGGTAGCTTATAAACAATTTTATAAGCATTTCTTTCATGTATTTAGCTATCGCTAAATATATATTTTTTTAGTTGGCCAAAACACATACTTAAGAGAAATATAAAACGAACTTTTGATTCCATTAAATGACTTTTTATTTTTATAATCCTAATGGGTGGTCTTATTAATAGAAAATGTTGATCTTGCAATTTTAAATACTGATACACCATTTTTAAATGTTGATATATTATATTTTATTTTTTCAAAATAAAAATACTCAATTAAAAGGGTTAATGACAATTTTGTCATTCAATTATATATTTAAAAATGTCTAATATCATAAATTTATTTTTGATATAATATTTTTTTAATATTTAAAAACAGTACAACGTTGCTCTTACAATTAACAAATATTAATTTTGACAGTAGTTGACAAAAAATTTAAAAAAAAAGAAACATGTAAAATTACATGTAAAAGGACAAAAATAAATTACAAGCAAATTCTTTTGAGCTCATTTTTAATAATTTTTTTGTTAGCTAACGATTATAATTAACTTTTGTTAATGATAAGAGTAAATACAACTCTAGTTACTTTGCATTCTATTTTGATTCACTGTTGAGGATGTTATACATGTCCTGATGTCCATCCAAGCTTTCAATGTGGTTCGTTGGGATCATTTTTATTTTGTCATGTTTTTCCTGATAGAATTAGTTATTTAGATGGGCTTTCTATTTCTAGTTCTACATTCAATTGGATCTCCTGTTTCGGAACAGAAATACAAAACAGCTAACAAGACCATGGAAACCATGAAATAATTTTTGAGGTTGTTGTAGCGATTTCCTTTAAAGAATACGTTAATAGGAAGAAAAGGTATCAATATATTTATACAATATACTATTCCTTACATTTTAAATTATAAAATACTTTTAAAAAAATTTATTATCTCAAAATATAAAATAATTTAAAAAAATTAAAATTTTATTAATAATACTTTTTTAATACCACTCTTTAAATGTAGAGAGAACTGAAATGATATTGTAATGCAATATTTAAGTGTATAAAGACATTTTTAAAAATTTATAATTTTTTTTTGAAAAAATAAGTTTGTAAAATATTACTATTGAGCTATATTATTATGCATAATCTTATATTAAAATTTTTCTTTTAACAATAATTAAAATGCTGTCGTTGGAGTTTTTTTTTTTTTGGTTAGCATGTTAAAAATAAAATAAAATAAAAAAAAGTGAGCAACCTAGGATGATAAAGATATTTTTAAAAAAGTGAGCAACCTAGGATGCATAATCTTATAAAGACATTTTTAAAAATTTATAATTTTTTTTTGAAAAAATAAGTTTGTAAAATATTACTATTGAGCTATATTATTATGCATAATCTTATATTAAAATTTTTCTTTTAACAATAATTAAAATGCTGTCGTTGGAGTTTTTTTTTTTTTTGGTTAGCATGTTAAAAATAAAATAAAATAAAAAAAAGTGAGCAACCTAGGATGATAAAGATGAAGCCAGACATTGATGATATGGCATTTAAATTTTAAATCTTACAAACAACATTGAATAAATGAGATCCTTAGACAAGAAACAAATGTTCTGGTAAATGAAACAAAGAAAAAACTCACTGTAATGATGAAGCAGACAGATGAAGATCAGAAATCAAAACTCAGAAGACGGCGATCGACTGGTGGCTGTGGCCTGTGAGTGGAGGCAAATGAGACGATCGACGAGGCATAGGAGGGAGGATGAACTTCACAGATCAGGGCATCGCAGCTTGGCAGGCTCCGTTATGTCGATTGATCGGCAAGAATGAGAGGACTAGGACGACGAACTAATGAAGCCGAACGCTTAAGTGAGGGTCGCGCGACGTCGATCGTGTGACAATCACAGACGCAGAGAATGAGAGGAGGAGGGACGAACTGACGAAGTCCAAGTTGAAGTGTCGAACACTTGAACTCTGATCTCAATTTTAGTTTTCAGCTCCCTGTCTTGCTTTGTTGGGTTTTAGCTTTTTGGGCTTAAAAATGAAAAAAAAAAAGGTCATTTTCTTTTTTAAAAAGTAATTTTTTGAACCGCCCGATTTTTTAAAACAGGATTCAATTCTTGACTTGATTTCGAATTTTGGTCCAATAATCAGTCTAAAATAGCTTTACCCATGAACAGTTTTTTATGGCCGACCGAAGTGGAAGCCTGACAGGTGTGGTCCGGTATAACTGATTAAATTTTTAGATAAAATTTAATAAATTTTAATTTTTTTTAATTTTAATAAAATATATTTAAAATAACTTTTATATATATATATAATTAGAATTTTAAAAAATAATATGTTAAAGCAAAAAATCTTTTAAATTCCTCTAACCCCTTCCTTTCGTCTCAAATCAACCAGACACACCCTTATCTTATACATTCTTTTAATTTAAAAATATAATAAATTTTTAATTGAACCTTACTTTAATAAAATAATAATTTATTTTTAAATTAATAATATTTTAATATTTATTTTTATTTAATAAAATATTTTATTTTAAAATAAATATAAAATGATTTATTCATTAAAAATATTTTTAAAAAATTAATAATTATATTTTAAAATATTAAAAATATTTTGTAATTTTTAACATTTAATTTTTTAAAAATTACCATGGATTTTTACAATAAAAGAGTATTACCTTACAAACACAACGGAGAAAGAAGGGGGTAGAACTTGGATGGAGATGTAACCTGCCAACCTGAACTGGAGAAACTCCCGCCATTGTCGTGTTGGGTCACATCTTCCCCTAAAACAGAGACAAAGCAACTAAAAAGCTTCAAATCTTGATATTCACTGTCGAAATTCTCCATTGTACCCCACGTCGCCCACGTTCTTAAAGCCTTCCCAGCTCAAACATTGGAGGAGAAAGTGAAGAGAAATAAAGGAACAGCATAATGAAAGCCAAAGCAAAAGGCTCCAATTTGAAGTTGGGCTTACCTTCTTTGATCTTCTTTTGTTCCCTTTTCTTCTTTGTTGGACTTTATTTGTCCACTATCCTCTTTCAGGTCTCTTAAATTCCCTCTACAATACTCGATTGATTGCCTGGTCTGTACTCGATCAATCTCATGGATTTAACTGATTATGTAATTTGATTGCAGGATTTGGGCGATGTACGGCCACGAACGACAGCGAGAATACTTGAAGAATCGGTGGCGAAGAACGAATATGACCCACTTGAGCATGGCAAAACTGGGGAAGATTTCGTTGAGTCAATCCCGTTTCAGGTGATTCGTCTTCTTTTGATCTCTATCTGGTTGATGTGTTTTCCGTTTATGCTTTTATGTCTAACGAATGAAAACATTGTCATGACCGAGTTTGATGATCTTATGAGAGTATCGAAGCAAGGCCTAAAATTCAAAGTGATACCTCGGTTCTCGTAAAAGTTGCTTGCATATTAGTTTAAGGTATTGATGATCCCCGCAGAGAAGCATCCTTAGGGTGTTCTGATTAGAATATCTATTTGATTCACTTCACATATGGAGGTACATGACACTTAGAGAGTAAGACAAACTGCGAAGGACCCGACTTTGGCTAGCACTATCAAAATCCAGGAGTATTGTCAACTGATGATGCGCGGTCATTCATGAATCATAGTGTATTTCGTTCTTATTTCTTTTTTGCTTTAAATGATACAGCTGGCAAGTCTGGTCCGGTCTTTTTTGTGATGAATTTATCCTAACTTTTCAAATTCTTGTGAATAAAGGAAGGTGAGTTCATATTTGTCCTTAAATACAAAAAAAGAATGTTGCATAAGTTTACTTGTGTGAGGAGATACGTGTATACATTTTATTGATTCTTGCTCACATCATCTTAAGTAACATGAAAATCCTAGCAAACGCTTAGAGGCCCGCTTCCTTTTTAAATCAAGTTTTCATACCTTGACAGTATTTAGAAGATTATAGAGCTTATGGCTATGGCCTATGTTCATAAGGGGAAAACTCTTGGTATTTGTAATTTGGAAATGGAAGTTGGCATATTCAGTTGAAGTGAGAAAATGTCTTTACTTGGGTTTTAAAGGAATTGTTTTCTACTATCATTGAAAAGAAGACATTTAATAGACATAGATTTGTCATCTGGAAGTGGTTAGCACTTAGCACCTGCAGCTGAGATGAAGCCTTCAGAAAGAAAATCTCTGCTTTTTAGAAAGCTCCTTGAACTTGTTCCTGTTATTCATTGCTGCTCAATATCTTTCTCTTCCTTTTTTCTCTTTTTTGCAGGTCTTAAGTTGGAGGCCACGAGCAGTTTACTTTCCAAACTTCACAAGTGCTGAACTATGTGAGCGCATAATTGACATGGCAAAATCAAAACTTCAACCATCAAAATTAGCTCTGCGAAAAGGAGAATCTTCTGAGAGCACCAAGGGCACTAGAACAAGGTATTATCATTCTCACGTACATCATCCACTTTGATTTTTCTCGTGAATTTTTATTAGATAGCTATTTAATGAAAGCTTGGAATTCCTTATATAACATACACGTGGATTAACATGATCAGTTTTAACATAGATAAGTCTGCTCAAATGAGTCAGACTATTTTTGGTAATGTTTTTTAATTACTTATCCTGCATTGGAGTAAATGGTTATCTCAGTTTTGCCATATACATAGGGTTTAGGTTATTGAGTTTGAATTATGTCATCTATCATTTATTGAGCTCATAGTACGGTAACAAAAAATAAAATTATTGTGACATTTGGAAGTTAGAACTATATTAACATCACAAACATTAACTATTTGTTTGAGGCGTTCAGTTCTCTTTACATGGATTATTTAATGCACGGTGATAATTGATGGTTTCAGGTAATAAGATGTTCTTTTTTAAAAGGGCGTATTATGAATTTGGTAAATTGATGGTAAGGGGATAAAACCTTTTAAAAAATTGGTTTATGCGAGAGTCATCATCTTATTTGCCAAACATTGATCTTTGATAGAATGGATTATTCCATCTCACTGAAGGCCTATCTCTAACATATTAGCTATGACTATACATAATAACCCTGCCATATTATATTTTGGAGCATAACATACAGAGGAAACAGCCAGATTATGATGCAATCAAATGCATTTTTCCTCACAAATGTTATCATTTGAACCTATCCACATCCTGAAAAGACAATTCAAAAAATAATTTGTGTTAGAACAGATAGTCATTGAAGATGATTGAGAGACATTTGTATTGCTGCTACTAATTTATACTTGGAAACAGTTCAGGCACATTCATTAGTGCATCAGAAGACAAAACTGGCATCTTAGACTTAATTGAGAGCAAAATTGCTAGGGTTACAATGCTTCCAAGGACCCATGGAGAGGTATTATTCCTTTTACAATTCCGTTAACTTTCTATGAAGGGTTAACGTTCAAGATGAGTGAAGTGGGGGCTGGTGTCAAAATTTTGCAGGCATTCAACATTTTGCGGTATGAGATAGGCCAAAAATACGATGCTCATTATGATGCTTTCAACCCAACTGAATATGGCCCTCAACAGAGTCAAAGGGTATTATTATCAAGGAATTCTTGTCAAATATCACTTTCTGCCATCTTTCTTTTTCTTTGTGGTGGTATTATTGGCTGAATCATTCTTCCTGCAAATCTCTCTTTTCAACAACTTTGTGTCTTGATATATTCTGTACTTGACACCTGTGTCTCTTTTTGAGGTTTGATTTAACTAAAGCCATATTCACCTAATTGATCTCCCAGATCAAGGAAAAAGAAATTTAAGGTTGGATGATTCGGAAATACCATATAACAGTTCTTAGCGAGATTTTAAAATGACCCTGGTCATTGTGTAACTAGTTCTTCTTATTCCTAGTGGTACGTGCTGTATGATATTTATTTAGACCGTGAATTCACTGGGAAAGTGGGAATAGATAGGAGTTAGAAAGAAAAGAACCAAGTGGGAAAAATAGGAATAAGCAAAGCAAATGGAGCATTCTTCAAAGTTATCAAGTAATTTTGACTTTACCTTCACTATCTAGATTAATTTGACATATTAAGTGCCCGTTTGAATTTTAGTTTATATCTGCCAAAAATACATTTGAAGGATCCAATTATTTATTGGATTTGGTAAAAACATATCCTAAATATAGTTTGGATGTACTTTGAAGGGTTACCCATATAGGCCTTAAGTTTGTTTCAATGTTATGACCAGTCCAGGTTGTTCTGATTACCCAATACTCATCATGGGCTCATAAATTGGTCTAAAACATGGACAGACGCCACATAGAGATATACTTTAAAACTTGGACCAGTTATGGCTGACAGTGATCCCTTGTGGTTTTTATACCTCCACCATAAATAACTAAGACCAGAAATCAGTTTAGGATTTTATATATGCCATATCTAGAATTTCAAGAATTTAATAACTTCAAGAAATTCATTAACTAACTTCTCTTTCAAAGGCTTTTTCTTATCTGAACTGGTCTGATCAGTCTGCTTATGGATCTCTTCTTACGCGTATATTCATGCTCAATTGGGCAGGTCGCTTCCTTCTTGTTGTACCTGTCAAACGTAGAAGCAGGAGGAGAAACCATGTTCCCTTTTGAGGTATATTGCGGAATTTGACGTCATCCGTATTTATGGTACTTTTCAAAATATGAATCTTGATATAGATGTAGTCAATGGAGAGTGTTCTAACTTGCAGGATGGTACGAACATTGGTACACGTTATGATTATAAAGAATGCATTGGTTTGAAAGTGAAGCCGCGTCAAGGTGATGGACTTCTTTTTTACTCTCTGCTTCCAGATGGCTTAATCGATAAGGTAATTCTTTTTTCTTTTGGGAATTAAAGTCATATAGTAATAATGTATGCATATAATTGCTGTTCTCCTTATAATACACCTGGTATGTGTGTGTATATATTACTGGAAGAGCATCCGGTTGTAACTGAGAAGATGAGGATTTTTTGGACAATGATGATAGAGAAGATGGTACTTTCATGATGATAAATTCAAATTGCTCTTATCATTCTTATACCAAGAAGTAAATTATGCGTATTTTCCTTTAATTTTATAAAAACTATACACATGTATCTTTGGACTTCGGTAACAAAAACTCATAGTTTCACTGTACTTTAGTGAGTCTAATTTTAAGTGGTGCACTTGTCGGTAGATGCATTGATTCTCGGCATTTCTATCTGGCAAGAGAAAATTTCGCTAATATTTTGTGTCAAAATTGCCATGGAATTGAAATGGATTCTTAGTACACGTCATTGATCGTCTCAAAAACAAAATCTCTCTCTCTTTCTCGCGTTATTTTGTTTGCTTTCATTTGTCAGTAACTGAACTTTACTGCAGACCTCTCTCCATGGAAGTTGTCCCGTGATTGAGGGGCAGAAATGGGTGGCGACAAAGTGGATTAGAGATCGAGAACGAGAGCGACACTAGTTGTTTTTCCATTACTAGCCATGGTCATCTTGTGAGATTTTTAAATTAGCCTAATTTATTAAAAATATGTAAAAAAAAAATTGACTCTATGTGTAACTGCGTGCAAGATAAATCTCGTTTGGAAGTATGTTTGAAATTCTTTGACATATACCAATGAGCATTAGATCTAATAGAAAGGACTAGTTTTTTATGATGTGGTGAAGTACGTTTGAATTTTCACTAAAAAAAAAGCATCCACATTTAGTGCACATGTGTCTTAAATGGGATCATTTGCACCTTCTAATCACTATTTAGCTGTGTTGTATTGTACGGGTATAGTAGTTATTGCTATGAAGTTTTATGTAGTTAAATTTCTGGATGTTGGTTTTAAATTAGTAAAAATGTGAGGAGAAAATATTTTTTTTTTCAAGGTGTAACTTTGGTGGGGGGAAAAAATTAAGTTCACTTTGTGAACTTATGTCATAATTTTTTATGACAAAAATATAATAAGAATTTTATATAACTTAAATATGATATGATTGAGTGTTTTAGAAAACATCATTATCAATTGTTTATTAAATAACTTGTTTATATTTTTTTTTACCAGCATTAAATAACTTGTTATCAAATACATTGAAGAGTCTCAATTTAACTTGAGTCAGAAGTGAGACATAGTCTGAAATTCATCATCCATATTAACATTAAGATACTATCTAATCGTCTTTTGGAATAAATTTTTAATTCTCAATATATTCCCCGTGTTTAATGTAATCAAATATTTTTAATTAATTTGCATTTCAATAAGTTAGTTAAGGATATCTAAAATTACATATTTTATATTTATTTTTATCTAATAGGTGTTTCAATTAAAAAAATCATTAATTATATCCTAATTAACTGCATTTTTGGAAAGACCTTATTAACTATACTTTCAAAGTCCCCAAATGTTTTATATTTTTGAATATGATATTTAAAAAAAAGTGTCTTATATACCCCTCGAAAAAAGTAAATCATAGAGGATTATTAATTTAAATTAGTATATTTTAATTTTACCTCTATTGAAATTATTAAAAGAGAAATTAATTCTAATTTAATATTTTCATATGACTCATCAAATATTGTGTTTCTCTTTCTCTTGTAAGGGCAAAGCTGAAATATTTTTAAATTTTGAGATTAAGATATATTTAATAAGTTAATCTTGTGAGGTGATTGAAAGTGATTTATAACAAAAAATAAAAGGGACTAAAATGCGAAAAAAATAGAAAAATAATAGTAAAATTTTCTCAAATTATATAAATGACAATTTGATTGCTTGAAATGTCATAATATTGAAATTTCTAGGGACTTATGTGTTAATAAATTTTAAAGTAAAAAAATTATTTTATCTTTATTAAAAAGTTATAATTTTTTATTTAATTCCTGTGATTCTTTGAATAAAAATTATTATTCTTTTAACAAAAATTATGATTGAGATTTGCTATTCTAAAAACTTATTTTTCAATAATAAAGGGCTTGTTTGGTTTCTGTTCTTATTTTTTATTTTTTAAAAAATATTTTGTAATAAATTTTTAAAATTGTTTTTTAAACAAAAAAATATAAAAATACGTTTGATTATGTTTATTAAAAAAATTTTAAAATTTAAAAAATAGACTGATAATAATGATTATAGACAGTTAATGGGGGTGATTAATAATAAAAATTGATCAATCTAATTAACAATTTTAATAATTAAATGTATTGCATTTTAAAAATAAAAAAATAAAATGAAAATAAGTTAAAGTTGTTTCTATTTTTTTTGTTTTTAAAAATAAAATATGAAAAAAGTTTTGGAGCAACTAAATGAAAAACACTTATCCAAACAATTAAATGAAAAATTGTGATTGATATTTGTTATTCTTAATAAAAGTAAAATAATCTTTTTAGTTCAAAATTTATTAATATAAAAATTCTTAAAATTTATAGTGAAATTATGATATTTCAAGAGATTGAATGGTCATTTATATAATTTTAAAAATTTTATTATTACTTTTTTGTAAAAAATATCCATAACATCGGTTAATTATGATAACTCAGATATTAAAGCTCTGCGTAAATATCTCTATTTTTCCTAATATGGTTTGATTGCTTGATAGGTGAAACACATTACTAATAATTAATGATTATGTGATAAACCTAATATTAATATTTTTATTTATTACGTGACTTGTTTGATCTTTAAAAAAATTTGACGCGGATGTTTTCTTCATTTTATTTAGATTTCGTTTTTTTCTGGACTAATTCAAACATTTCGATTTTTCCCCAAAAAAAAAAAATGGAGAAGAAACTGCCGCGAAGTTGACAGTCAAAGGCAATTTCCCCATTTGAAGTCAGATTCAGAGTCCTACTTCTCACGACACCACCCTCACTTTCCTCGGAACAACGCTCCTTCCCAATACTTCCAGTCTCTGACTGGGCCCCACACTACGCGCCAATTCATCCGTCACTCACCACCTTCCCATGATTTCATTTGCTTTCCTTATTCAATTTCAAACACTATTCCCACTCTATTCTATCTTTGACTTTGACACACCCCCCCTCTTCTCCGTCTTCCTCTTCTTTACCCTCATTCTGCTTTTCTTCACAGCAGAAAGAAAGAAAGAAAGAAAGATGACTCCTTTCATATCCCTCTCTCTCTTGCTTGTCCTTCTCCACTGTCCCCTCCCATCCTTCTCGACCAATTCTGAAGGTATGTTTTCCTTTTCTCTTGATTTCTTTGTTTGAGAAATCTGAGGAAACCACAAATACTCTGATTCAGAGTTCAGATGATAATCTTCATTTGGATTTTTCTTGTAGGAACTGCGCTGAATGCCTTGAGAAGCAGGCTCTCTGACCCCCACAACATTCTGCAGAGCTGGGACCCAACTCTGGTTAATCCTTGTACTTGGTTCCATGTTACCTGCGACTCCAATAATCATGTCACCCGCTTGTAAGTTTCTTACTTCTCATTTCTATTCATATCTTGATTTATATTCCTATGCTTGTTATGTTAGGCTTCTAACCTGCTTGTCTATACTTTGAATTTCAGGGATTTGGGCAATTCTAACGTCTCTGGAACTCTTGGCCCAGAACTGGGCGAACTTCACCATTTACAATACTTGTACACGCCCTTCCCTCTCTTCCCTTATGCTTTTATTATTGCTTTGGTATTCCAAAGGTAAACCCTAGTAGGATTGTGTTTTCATAATCAGAAAGCAAACAAGTACCTAAGAATCCCCAAGTTAATTCTCTCATATGAACTATTCCTATATCTTGATTGGGGACTGAATAAATACAGATTCTGAACTAGGCCAGTCTAGAACTAAGCCGTTATGTATGCTTGTCTGTTCATATGATTGTGATTTTGCATGGTAGATTGGGGTTACTCGTGATTGTTTCTTGATTGAGAATTAGCTCGGTGTTACTTGATAATCACTAATTGGTCAGGGTTTCTGGAATTGATCATTTTTGCAGGGAGCTTTATAGGAATGACATAAGAGGGAAGATTCCTACGGAACTCGGCAACTTGAAAAAACTTGTTAGTCTGGATATGTACGATAACCAGTTTGAAGGGGAGATCCCAAAATCATTCAGCAAGTTGAAATCTCTCAGATTCCTGTGAGGATGTCTCTCTTTGATTGCTCAGAAATCTTTGAACATTATATAGTTCTTGATCAGAATGATATCTAAATCACCATTTGTTTCGGTTTCCTTGTATCCAAAATTCAGCCGCCTAAACAACAACAAGCTTTCAGGGCCAATCCCAAGACAGCTCACTCGTCTCACTAATCTCAAAATCTTGTAAGCTTTATTGTGACTTGACTTGTGATTTCTTTGCTGTTGCTTCTATGAGCTAATGGAAATATGAAGATGAATTCATTTTCTAATGTTGCAGTGATGTTTCTAACAACAACCTCTGTGGAACAATACCAGTAGATGGCCCTTTTGCGTCTTTCCCTCCAGAAAGGTTAGTCTTCTCTCCAATTGATCCTGCTCATCAAGAACTTAAATCACTTGAAATAAACCAGAAAATAGTTGATGAGACATTCTTCTCTAATGTCTCCGGCATAATAGCTTATAGTTCATAAGAAGTTTCTCCAGAGTCTCTGATGTGGGCTTGCTTATTGTTGCAGCTTTGCAAACAACAATAAACTCAAGGGTCCAGAACTTAAAGGATTGGTTTCTTACAATTTTGGATGTTGAAGAAAGCTATTATACTGCGAAGAGAAAGGGAATGTAAAACAATATATTTGGTTGCCATGGAAAAGAGTCTGATATATGAATAATAAAAGGGAGTGATTAAACTATGATCTGATTGTATCACCGACCATTGTGTGCAGCATGTAGCTGAACTCAGACTTTGATGATGGTGATAAACAAATGTCTCAAGGAAAACTTGTTTGCTTGGAAAATCATTTTATTTATATAAAATCTATAGAAAAACTGTTACTTATAAGCGATCATCAGCAGTATAACTTATCTCCAATTTCATACCTGGTACCATAATTATGTCTGTTTTGATCTGGAAAGCTCCAAGTTTTATGAAAGAATTATCAATTTGTAGATCACTTGATTCAAATGTTTGCTTGATTGATAAATTTGTCATTAAAGTTTGTTTATTTCATTCCATGATGGCAATATTCTGTTTTTATTTTGGGAAAATAAATCATTTCGTATTAAAATTTAGTACTCAAACTTTGACCATGTCAACTCAATTCTTATTATTTTGATTTAATTAAGACTCAATTCTTGAATTTTAGTTCAATGTAAATATTATAATTCTCTTAAAGTTTTTGAAGACTTTTTTGTCATAAAGAAATTAATATAAATAATTAAATTGCTTTTAATTCAAACTTATAAATTGTTATAGAATTTTTATAATTTTAAAAAGAAAAATTGTAAATTTTAAAACAAAATTTATAAATGATAATTAATATTTAAACACTTGAAGAATATTAAAATTTTAAATGTGAACGTGTAAATTTTTGTTGAATTCTCATAATTTAAAAAAAATTGTGAATATTAAAACAAAACTTATAAATAGTAATTGATATTTAAATTAAAAAAATTTTAATCATTTATATTAATTTCTTAATAATAGAAAAATATTTACAAACTTTAAAAAAATTATACCATTTTAAGATATTAAAATAATATTTATATAATTTAAAAATATTTTATTATTATTTTTTCTAATTTTATCTATTTGAATGGACGCTTTAAATGTCTAAAATATAAAAATTGAATTGCATCAAATTAGACTTCAAAAATAAATTTTAATTAAGTTGAAAAAATAATGATTGAATTGCATTAAGTTTAATTTTAAAAATTAATTTTTGATTAAGTCAAAATCATATAATCAAATCATTAGTTTTCCAAAATTAAATAGTTTCTCCTCTCACTTGATGAGAAATTCTTAGATAGACCGATGCACAAAATAAAATTTATAATTTATTTAATTAAAATATCTCAAGTCATCTAAATAAAATTTTAAGTAATATCATTTTATTAGTTTTATTTTTATAACAAAATATATATTTAAATTCTTGCCCGCTGTTCCCTCTATTGTCATTAATTTTAGAATTAATTTATAATTAATAATATTTAAATATTATATTTTCATTGAATATATTACAAAAAATACCATACGCTTATTTTAGTTGATTCTTTATTTTGATTTAAAGCATATTTTTGTAAAATTTCGGTTTTAAAAGACGCATATCATGAATTGTGGGAAGAGTGGCTATCGTAAAAACATAAAATAAAGTTGTTCACATGTAGTCGAACACGCGGCCAGGGTGTTTACCAATTACCACTAGGGTGGATAAGTTGATGACTCAACACAAAGTCATTCAAAAAATTTAAAATTAAACTTAAAAAAAATAATTTTTTAATGTATGTGTCATTCGTACCAAGTTTGATTAAATTCAAATTTAATCTGAATATCAAAATAAAAAAATTTAAAAAAATATATAAAATATAATAAATAATTATTAATTTTTAAGTTTTATATCATTTTATACTAAAATATCATATATTAAATATTTTTAATATAAAAAATTTAGATTTTCATATTTTTATTATTTTAATTAATGAAATATTTCAAAATAATATTTTAAATATATTTTAATATTAAATTTTATATTTTAAAACCCATTTTTTGAAAAAAGTTTTGAGTCCTATATATCATTTTTGTATGCAAAAAAATATGTTTTATATTTTTTATAAAATAAGATAGTTAATTTTAAGATAAAGATAAAATTCAAGCATGTACAAATTCATGACTTTATTATTAAATAAACATAACAAATAAAATAATAGTCTTGAATAATTATTTGATTATCGTCCACTCTAAAATAGTATTTTAATCATAATTAAATAATTTTGTGATATAATATAATGATGGTTATTTTTTTCATATTCTTAAAAATAAAAAATATAATTTATCCAAAAGTTATTACAAATTTTAAACTAATTGAAGCAATGATTTTAAGTTAGGGGTTTAACTATAATTAAATTGAGATCAACTTGACCATAATTAAAATATTATTATTTAATTAAAATATATAAAATATTTATATATGATTATGGTAAGAGAAATATTTAAAAAATTAAATTATTAATTAATAAATGAAAAATTCAAGAATAAATGATACACAATACAACAAAACAGTAATAAAATTATTTAGGTATAAAATTGATAAGTTATTATTTTTATTTTATTTTTTTAAAATTAAAATAATATTTATACTTAACATAATTATTTAAAAATTAAATTATTTAAAAAATATAAATAAATAATATTTTAAAAAATTTTAGGTATTCAAAGTGACTCGAATAAAATTAAATTTAAAAGTATTAAATTTAAATTTAATTATATAAATTTTTTAAAACAAATATAATATATTAAACTTGATTCAAATAAATGTGACTCAAATTAAACTTAATTTACGTAAGCCCATCCACTCGAATTGCCACAGAGTCGTGTGTATTGAGTTATTGACCATTGAGACCATCTTCCCAGAAAAGAAATTGGCCTCCCCGTTATGCATTAAAGTGCACCTATACGTGGCATAAAAGTAATGGCCAACTGTACACGTGTCGAGAAGCCGATGCCGTGACTCGAGCCGCAGTTCTTACGACATCTCGTGATATAGTTATAAACTGTTGTTTGAAGTTTGAATCTAAATTAAAAGTTAAAATATTAATTTTTGTTTATTTTAGAACCTCCTGGATCATGGGCTCTTCTTTAAATTTAGTTAAAATATTACCGTAATATTTTGTGTACGGAAATATTGAAATATAATTTTAGATTTGTCATAATTAATTACGATTATTTTCAGTAAAATTAATATATTTTTCGCCAATTAGTAAAATTAATATTAGACTTCAATGTAACGCCATCCGCGCACATCCTTCTTATAGACCATAGATTTTGTATTCATATTTTAATTTCCATGCATGAAAAATAATAATAAAGCCAGGCAAAAAAAGGAAAATAAAATAAAGTGCGATTTAAATTATTGGGGGAAGCAAGAAAAACGCCGTTGAGGAAGCGAGTAGGGGTAGATTTGCGTTATCCAAGGAGTACGGTATTATTTCACTACTGGAGAGAAAATGATATCGCCACGTTTGTTTTCCTGCAGAGCTCCAAAAGGAATTTGCTCAGGCTTCAAAGAAGCAGCTTGAAGGCTTGAACAACGACTTTCGTCGCCCCCTTGGTTCTAGTTCTTTCTTTTTCTTTGTTAGGTCTAAACCCGCCTTAACCCCTTCTTCATCCCTGAAAGTCAAAACCCCTAATATTTTTAACCCAAAATGAGCTCTGCATTCTTGAGGAATCCTCCTTTTCTCGCTTCTGGATGCAGAGGCATTCGATTAAACATGTCACTGATTCAACCCCAGCCTCCATTATGTGTAACCAAACTCAGTACAGAGTATATTTTCGATCCCCATATTTTACGAGGAAAACCAAAGACTATGCCATTTCTCCTTCTTCGTTTTTCTCTTCCTCCTTTGCTTCTTCCTCTTCCTCTTCGTCGTCTTATGGTTGTCTCTCCAAGGTTCGTTTTGTAGGTTGGTATTTGGGGATGGTGAAGTCGCGCCCCATTCTTACAAAAAGTGTTACTTCTGGGCTTATTTACACGGCTGCTGATTTGTCCTCCCAGGTACGAAAACTCTTTCTGGATTCTTCATTCTTTTATAACTCTTCAAAATTTCGCTTTATATATCTTCATGAAGATGGATTTTGTTTACCAAATTCTTTTGCCCCCACAATCTTGGAACGGGCTATTACCCTTCCCAGCTTATGGGATTTCACCAATGCGAATAAGCAGCTCAACTGAACTCATGCTATTTTGTCTTAACATGATGGGGTTTCCCCCACTTTTTAGCAGTAAATAGGATTATGAACTCTCCGGATTCTCATCATTATTCTTTACATGGAATAATTCTGGCGGCTTTTAAGAATATTCGGTTGGCGGTGGCATGATGTTTGGAATTTTAATGCTTTCTTTATTATTGGATGCTGTTAACCTTACATTCTTGGGATTTATGTACTTGTTATTGGTGATAGATACACCCTCAAAATCCTGCGGCAGTTGTTACACTGTACTCATTCCCATTTATATTTGTGGTTCATCTCGTGCTAGATATGTGATTATGAGCCCTTTACTTCATGATCATTTTGTTTTCTTAGTCATATGCACTGGCTAATCGGATCTAATTTCTCCAGACTATTTCACTATCATCTTCAGAATCGTTTGATTTTGTGAGGACATTACGCATGGCAGGATATGGGATGATCGTTTTAGGACCTTCACTGCATTTCTGGTTCAATTTTGTGTCAAATCTTTTCCCAAGGAGGGATCTTTTCTCAACATTGAAGAAGATGGTCATGGGCCAAGCAATTTATGGACCTATCATGACTGTCGTTTTCTTCTCCTTGAATGCTATATTGCAAGGTATTTCTAATTCCCTTGGCATTACAACTTCTAGAGCATGTTTTTTGCTTCTTCTTCTTCTTCTTTTTCCCCCATTTTCTTTGCTTTCTGATATGGAAATTCCTTACTTCCCAAAGAGTATATTGAAATATATTGCTAACTGGTGTCAATTGAGGTGCTCAAGGTCAAAGGCTTAGGTTGTTAATAATGTAAATATGTAATGTGGAGCTGTAAACAATGATGTTTAGCTCTATACCATAGACATTGATGCAGGTGACTAGATAAAACAATGAATTAAATGTAAAAAAAGTTTGCTTTTGAGTTTCCTATAATCATATAGCACATACTGCCTTTCCTGAAATGTGACAAGACGCAGCTATTCTTTCAAGTTTAAGTTGCAACACTGCATTGTTGTGATTTAGTTCTGTTTCTAGCATCCAATTATATGAACGTTAAGTTTACAATATAAGCAGGCCTTTAACAGCATGGCGGACCCCATTCATGTCCTGATTAGTGATACATTGTACTGTGCTGGTTCTGTATCTATCTATCTATATATATATATATCACAAAGTCTATAAGAAGTAACAGTATTCTAAAATCATGAATAGTATGACTGACCTAAAATTTCACACAAAGCATGGGATCCATATTTCATTCATTGGTTTATTGCATTTTGTTTGTCTCTGTTTATGATTTTGATTCTTTAACTTGAAGAAGCCCAAACCCTTCTCACTTGGCGGAGAAAGGAGGGAAAAGTTTGAAAACTGAGGTGGCAGCGGATATTAGACAGGAATTTTTGTTCTATAATTGTGTGTGGTCCATATTTAGCGGGCAAAACATGACAAAAGATTTCAAAATTTTTTGAATCAAATAAAAACGTGTCTCAGATTCATGTCATGGTATTATTTGCTGCTTTAATATTTTAGTTCTGACCTTTTGCCAGGTGAAAACAACACAGAGATTGTTGCACGCTTAAAGCGTGATGTACTGCCTACAATGTTAAATGGAGTTATGTACTGGCCTGTTTGTGATTTTATAACATTTAGATTCATCCCTGTCCATTTACAGGTACGTAGGAGGTTGACTCCTCATCTTTCCTTTCTACTCTCGCAATTTGCCATGAATGGTCGTTAATTCCTGACCTTCTGTGTTCATATATTTTCGCAGCCACTAGTCAGCAATTCATTTTCATATGTGTGGACCATTTATATGACGTATATGGCAAACCTTGATAAAGCAGAGGCTGCGAGTTGAGCAACATAGTTTGAGGAGCCCTTGTTTCATGATTCAAACATGGGCTAACTATATGGTTACAGTATACAAGCCAAACTGGTGAAGTCGGTATTTTGCAGGACGCTCTAAGATTCATGATGTGGATCAAATGCTTAATAGTTTCGACCAAGTTTTCTTTTTTCCACTTAATTGTAATATTATAGTATCCATTCTTCCTAGGGGACTGGACCAACTAGTGGACTCTGTAAAGCATTTTCTGTTACTAAGTACATTGGTTTGGCTTATTTCTTCATTTTAGATATTTGGGTTCGATTTCTCAAATTCTTTTAGTTTTTAGCTCCTACAGTGTCACAATTCACATTATACTGCACATTCGACAACTGTGTGAATCTTTTGGAAATATAATAGTTTTTATCCAACGAGCTGTTGCTTGTTGAGGCTGAATGTCATTTGATAAGTACTTATGAAGTCGATTTTTTGTTACGATTTGGAGTATAAAGAAAAGTGGATAATTGGTTGAATATTACAGAATGTTCATAATTTAAATGGATGTTTAATATAATTTTTTTCCCTTCTCTTCGCTTCTCTGGATTATTAATATAAACATATATTAAGAGATGCTGTTTTGATTAAATTCATAATTATTCCAGAACCAGAATGCAGCAGATAATCTATCATTCTAAAGAATGCTTAACTCTAGAAACTACTAAATGCCCTGTTCAACAGAAAAACAAGTATTTAGGTTGAAGTTTTTGAAGTTGATCAATGTCTCAGAGATCACACGAAACTACCAATTTTAAATGTTTGGATTAGGAGAAAAGGGGACGAAAAGGTTTTATCTAGATGTAAATAAAAGCAGATTGTTCAAATTATTTTCCCCCTTTATATCTGAGCATGCCACTTTGGTAAATTTAAAACTATCATCCACGCATAAAATAAAATCTTAAAGATGCCATTTAGAGTTAGAATAAAATCATCATTATTCATTTGCGGCAACGAATGGAAAGTTAATGGAGGACTTGCCCCTTCTAGAGAACAGAGAGAAAATTGCTGGAATTAGGACTAAGGAGAAACTTGTATTATATAAAACAAGAGGGACCCAGAAACTACATTCAAGCCTAGTCTACAACAATTAGTCGAAAAGTCAAAATAAGAGTGACAAGAACTGGCTATCATCAACAATCAATGTTGAACTCTTGAAACAATGAAGCTTTCAATCCTACCCAGAGGTTCACACACTTTGGTATAAACATGTCCCACTCCCTAACGACCATCAATCTCTATATCTTTTGTGTAATCTAACCAACTTACACCTAGAATCCCAGATGCTCCTTATTCTGTTTTGGCAACCGACGTGACTTCAGGATATGATGGAAATCAATAATCATGTCAGCTGAAGCAAGAAATTATCAACACACGACTTCAATCAACAAATTAATCCCTCATCCGCAACTTCTGCCCTTTGATTCCCTTTGATTCCAGTTGAATTCTAATCAGCTGAAAGTACAAGCTTCATTCTTCAGAAGCACTTACACAGATCTTTTCAAGCTGTATGGGCCAATCAGGTCCAAGAATTTGGGGATTCAATTCCATTGCAAGACGAAAATCTAGAAGAGATGTACAAGAAGAAGTTGTTACTGTTTGCATATATCTTCCAGGTAGTGATGCAATTGAACCAGGCACTGACTGACTATTTGGTTGTCTTAAGCGCTCACTACCACATCTTGACGCAGCTAAACTGAAAGAGGACTCAATCAGCCTCTTCAAATATGAATCTAGGGAATTATTCAACAGATTTACACAGTCCACAGTTACAGATAAATCCTCCTTTTCTAACTTCCACTCCAATCGCCTCCTCAAAGAACTAGTATCAGGTAGCTCTCCACTGCTTTGACAGGTCTCTAAATAATATTTACGACTTGCTGATGCATTTGATAGAAGTTTTCGACCACAACCAAAGTTCATGGATATACCAAGAGGCGCTGTAACTGGGCTCCTACTTTGGATACTGGGGCTTCCAGTCATCTGTTCAACCTCCTCGCCATCTTCAACAGAAACAGGTGGTCTACTCCCAAGGGAATGCAATTCGGTTGCACTCTGCTGCTCCAGTGCCTTGGATATCAATTCTAAAGACGTTACGCTTTGAGGTTTGCCCACTGGTCGCAATGGACTTTGCCAGTCCTTAAACTTGCCATCCCGGCCTACTGAAGATCCACTTCTCTGGAGGGAAGGTGACAATGAACCCCCATTCAAAACTTTTACACTGAGAGGACTTCCTACTTTACAAGCAGCTCTTGGAGGCGGGGCTTTAGCCAGACGAGCATTCTTGAGCAATGCCCTCATAAGTTGGTTGTGAAGAGGCATATTCTCCCTCCCTATTGTCTTGATGCAGCACCTATTAAACTCAGACTTGCTAATCTTTAAACAGATAAATCTTTTAAGCTGTTCCATGTATTTCACAGCTCTCTGATGCCCAATCTTCCGAACAATCAAAGCTTTCAGCTCCAAAGTGTCAATTCGAGTGAAGCTTCGACTGGGTACCGTCATTTTACCCAAATTTCTTGCAATAAACGAATCAGCATTCAAATCATCGTCCGCAATACTTTAACGAAACCAAGGTGATCATAAACGTAAGTTTCTTTAAACCCTAATTCCCAGGCAATGCCTTAATCTGCAATTCATGAAAATATCAATCAGAAACTATTACGTATCCCATTTTTTATTAACTTCTCAAGTGAATTCAAATTAAATCCATGAATGCTGCGCAGCCAAAACCTAAAATTTGCATCATTTTAAGGATTACAAGAAAGCTTCAAATTTACCAAACCAAACATTAATTGAAATAACAATTAAGACAAAGATGCGCGATTGAAAACAGAATATCAGTTCACTTAGTTTAACATTGAATACCGATGTGCACGGGGAAAATCGAAGTGGTCGAATTTGAAAGATATGCAGCAAACATGAAATACGAGAAAAACCATTAAGGGATTCAGAAGAAAGATAGAAAATTTACGAAGCGATGTCGAAGGTGAGACTTGTACAAAAGTGACGTGATCCCGAATTCCGGTAGGCTAAGAAGATCTAGCTTGAAGGTTTTGCCTCCGATTGCTGTATCGGCGAATTTTGCAGTTCGCGGTTCAACGCAATAGGAACGAAGACCAAACGCAGACTAAAGACGAAAAGCGCTCTGGGCTTTTACAACATGCGCAGATTTCATGTATCTCACAAAAAGCAAATTAAAACCAAGGCTTCAGACCGCAATGGGTAATAAAGGCCCGTTTGTTCCTGACGAATTTTGAAGGGAGCGAACTTGTTATTTGCAGGATCAATTTTGTTTTTGTAAAAAATATTCCCCTATCCAATATTCCGATCTATGAAAAAATAATAATAATAAAATAGTTGAAATAATTTAGAAAATGAAATAAAGAAGTTCTACAAAGGCGAGCCACATATGTTGTGGATTTTATTTACTGTTATTTGATCTTCTACCAAAAATAAAAAAAATTTACAGATACCCTATTCATGTCTCTTTAATGTTTTTTTGTTTTAAAACTAAAAATAATTTGAGATGTCAAAATTTTAAAAAAATATTGATACCCGAAAAGAATATTTAATATAAATCACCAATAACTGCACTTTTTTAAATACCTAAGAAGCCGGAAGCCTAAAAAGGAAAAGAAAAAAAAAAACAAAGAAACAAAACTACTGATAAACTAATCACTTTTCTTTTTTGGGCTCCATACCTTCTTCATTCAAATCGGTTATATTTCTCTTTTTCCCCCCTCAAATATTCACATTTCTAAAGGTTATTGTTCATCCCGTGCGTAACATTGGGAAAAAAAATTAGTTAAAGCTGAATTTGAATGGCTAAAAATTGAAGAATAAAAGAAAGTAAATCAAGAATCTAGTTTAAGCTTTTTTAGATAGTGTCCACCGTATCATTACACATCTGTAAACAATGCAAGCGCACAATTGATTCAATAATACATCTAGATAGGTATAATGTGACCCACTTCAAGGAATCTAAGGTGATAAATGGATGTCCTACTAGGCTAAAACAAGTGTCTACATTTACACAACAAATACGGCACATTCAACGTCAAGGCTAAATCATGTTAAGGCATCGCAATAAATCAAACCTAAAACCTCAATCGACATCATTCCCCCCTTCATCACCACCTAGGAGCATCATCACGAGATATGCTTCCATGAGCAGTGTGAACCTGCTAGCTTGACATTTAATCACTCAGCATAAAGAATAGTTCTAGCTTAAAGAAATAAACTACTCTTCATCATTTAGTGTAGATAGCATCATTATCAAATGCCCAAAAAACATCGTCCGCTTATGAGATTCTCTACTAAAAATATAACATACTGAAGAAATCCTTCAAATATTCACGTGGTACTAAGCTGTAAAATTAGGCATCTCGTGTTATTAGACAATCTGATAAGAAACGCCAAAAAACCATTCCTCATTTATCTAATAGCTGCATATCAGTGCATCCAACTCGCAATATTTGCATTCATAAGAAATTAATGTCAATGGCTGTAAGGCCCCTACAAAGATGACATTCAAAAACACTGAAGATAAGATGGCCCATTAAAAAAAGAAAAAAAAAAAGATAAACAGATATATCCTATGGTTTACAGTTACCCTGTCAAATCTCAACTCCCAGATGATGAATTTTCAGCTTGATTATCTCCACTGGGCGGATGATTAATTGTTCGCAATGGTGGAGCCTCCCTAAATTTCAATATATAGGCTATTTCATGAACTACACGCAGCTGTGGAATCGCTTGAGCATCTAAGTAAGCATCACAGGAGAAGCACCAGACTGACAGATCACTGTGTGGCAAGAGTGCATTTAGGACACAGCTTCAGTATGCCAACAGATTGGCTGAGAAATTATGCATTTCCAATTAACATTTCACAGAACAGCGGGCCAGTTACCTGAAGCTGAGCGCCACACTGTGACTTGTCCGCTGATAATGCTGAAGCATATGCTTGTTCACAAAACGGCTACAGAGCACATCCTTACAGGACAAACACAACCAATTCTCACTGGGGTGTTGGCAACTGAAAGTTTAATCCAGTAACAGATTAGAAAGCATCCACTTTTGATGCAAAAACTAGGCTTCTTATCATAAATTGTTTGTATGCTAGATTGTAGGGGTCAGTTCAAAGGTGGATACAAGCATATTGTGATCTATAATTGGGTGAATTCTACTATCAAGAGGCCATGCCTTCTTCCATATGTCTATCTCACATGCACTTCTTCGGCTGCCAAACCTTCAGTCAACGTGAATATCCCTCAAATGTACAAACCATCCATTTTCCCTCATCTCCTTGAATTTGGCTATCCGTTTAGCCCCCCACTCAATGCACAGAACGTATAGGCAGTGACTCACGCTCTCAGTTGCACCCCTCACTTCGAATAGACCTCCTAGTATTTAGAGACAGGCACTAATGCACTGATATGATCTGTAACTTCCGTTCACTTACACATACACGCTTTCTGACACTTCGAGTGACGTTCACTTACACTTTACAAACAAAACATCCGATGATGGGTTTTCATGCCCAATTTCTTTCAAACACTTGCCATATTTTTCAAAAATCCTTAGAGCTAAGCAAGAACAAGACTTTTATTGATTAATAGCTTTGTGGTTTAAACTATAAGCATTGTGACAGTTCCACGGAGAAAATAACATTGGGCGTACATATCCAATTTCAAGAACATCCATTCCGCAGAAAGCGTAAATCGTTAGCGATTGAAAAATCAACTTAAGCTCCATTCATTAATAGGTAAGTTGAAGGAACTGGCTTTTGATCATAAAAGAAATTGATGACATTTTAGAAGTATGAACCACCAAAGGTACCTGTTGCATGGAGTCTCGGGGGTTGGGATGTGGGTAAGATCGGCCCCCAACGAACCAAGGTGATCGCACGAAGTTCGAGCTTCGACACAACCAGATTCGGAACCATACATTAAGTCGTATTCTTCTTCAAGCAGGCCTTCCTGAACATGGCACAAATATGACAACAGTAAACACATGTTGCATTGAAATTTTTATGAGCAAAATTTCTGATGGTTTTGTCGGGGCATCAAAAAGGAAAATACAGATGGAGGAGAAAGGTAATACCGGCCGAGAAGATGACGAAGCGCCTGCTTTTGCCATGAACTCCAGGACACGAAGAGATTGATACCGTCGAAGAGCGCCGTCTTCCCAAAGCTCGGCTCCGGTTACATATAATACAAAGCAATATGTATTGGCCGGGATATGAAGGATCTATACCAAATTTCTAATCTCGACCGTCCAAGGGTGGCGTAAATTTGCCGACAAAACACAAGCAAAAAAAAAAAAAAAAGTTTATAGTATTAAATAGTAAAAAAAAACTTATTAATTTTAATTCATAATAAAATTTAACTCAAAACGTAAAAATAAAAATTTTAATTATTTTTATTTAAAGTTTATCTATATTCCAATCAAATCCAAAGGGTAATTCAAGCTACGTTTGATGGCCAAAGCGAATAAGTACAAAAAAAATTTAAAGTCAAACCTAGTGAAACAATATTTTTTTAATGTTTGAATCTGTTAAAATTAAGCTGAATACAAAAAATTTATTTTAAAAAATATATAAAATATTAATAATTTTTTAACTTTTAAGCCGTTTTATATTCAAATATATACTATAATATATCATATATATTTGAGTAATTGTTATAAATTTTTTTAAAAAAATAAAAATATTTATATTGTCATATTTTTATTATTTTTAATTTATAAAATATCTCAAAATAAAATAAAAATAATTAAATTTAAAGTAAAAAATAAATTACAATTAATTTTAAAAATAAAAATTTGATAACTTAAGTATTTGAATTGGCTGAAAACTAAAAAAATTCAAACTAAACTTAATTATTTGGATTTTTCAAGAAGTTTAAACATATTTAATCGAGCTTAAATAAGCTCAACTCACTTAAATTATTAACTCTAAGCAAAATTTATGTAGTGAGGGTAAATTTAAGGAGGGCAAGGGCCCTTGCATAATTTTTTGAATTAAAAAAGTAAAATTTGTATTTATAAAAGACATTACATTAGATACTGTCCCCTTATTTTGTGTTTTAGTTTAAATGTATCGATTGTTAAAAAGTTGCATTGTTTAGGATTTGCAATAAGCACCCTTATAAGTAGGAAGTTGTGGTTCGATCCCTTCAACCAATTAACTTTTATTTCAACAATAAGCATGAAATATTTAGACTAAAATATATTTTTAATCCTTTAATTTTATATAAGGTTTTAATTTAATCATTTAATATTATAAAAATCTTTTTAATTTTATAAATTTAACACTGTTAATTATATTAATATAAATTCTGACTATAATGCTGATTATGCAATTTTATAGACTTACAAAGCATATTTCTTTAATATAATATTTTTATATTTTAAAATGAAAAAATTAATTAAAAATAAAAAAGTTCTAAGAAATGAGTGGCGCTGTCTCCTTATATGTCATTTCATTTGCTTTTCCAAACCCACAGCGTGACTACTATTTTGCCTTCTTTTCGACAACAATGGCTGCCATGCTTATCACTCATCCTCACATTCCTCCGTATTTTCCATTCCTTTTCAAAATCCATTATTTGAATCTTCAACCTTCTCCTCAACTAACTCTGTAGCAACTCCGTTTCTAAAATGTTCGAACGGCTCCTACTGATGGTGGCATGAGCATATTCTGTTAGCGATTGTTGGACAAGATAGGCTGGCTTATTGGAACTCTTAGTTATGAGAGCAAACAAAAAGAGAAGATGCGTTGGATTCTCAGACTCGGTGTAAAGGAAGCTTCCTACAGTCACTATCGGTGGAGTTGAAGCTTGAGATTAAGGTGAGATTTTTGTTCGATTGAGCCAAGGCTTTGAAATTACGGCGTGTGTAAGAAATTGTGCCGTTGGTGTTGATGTTCATTCGAATATGCATGGTTCTTTGTTGCTGGGTATATCCTGATAACTTTGGGATTTCGCAATTATTGGTTTTTTTCATTGTGATTTTTTTGGAAAAATATCAATCAAAAATCACTAAAAAAATTTATATTAGTTAAAGATTATTTGATGTCAAAATTCAAATGAATATTTGTCAATTTAAAATAATCTTTTATCAACATATATTCATTCTGGTTTTAATAATAATTTATTTAAAATTAACAAAAATTTATTCAAGCTTTTTTCATTTGATTTTTAATAGTAAGTAATTTTTGACTGATATAAATTTCCTCTAATGATCCTTCGTCACTATTTTTCCTATTTTTTTTTAGCATGGTTGATCTTTTATGTTTGAAACAATAGTGAAAGGGTCATATTCAAGAGGTGTTGTATCAAATTTTTCTTTTTCTTTTTCAATTACATAATTGGTTGCTTGTTTTCTCTGTAAAGTCCAATTATTGAGGGTATATGGATGCATCTTATGCATTTTTGTGGTATTTAAAAAATCTGTAATTTGATTTGAAGACATTAACTTATGTTATCTAGCAACTTATGCTCCGAAAACCTATTCTTGATGCATCTATCTCCTTTGTTCTGAATCAACGGCTTGCCCGAAAATAAAGACTAGAATTAATTCCAATCATTATTTAAAAAAAAATTAATGATGATGATGATAATGATCCAAATCTATAATATTAAAGTACATTTTTATGACACTTTTTTCAAAGAGAAAATGACATTTAAAAACTAGGGCTGTGCAAAAAAACTCCAGACCCAACCTGTTTAGTTCAATTCAGTTTGACTCCGTCCAAGAAAATGAACCAAAGAGAAAAACTAGACTGATCAGGTCAGACTCCACTTTCGGGTCAAATTGGACTAGAGACTGATGTTTGGGACTAATTAGTTTGGCCCGGTCTAGATTATTATTTTCCTAATATTAAATAATAAATAATTATATTATTTACAAATAAAATATAATTGATTAATAGTCAGACTCATATCTAATATCACTCTCGCCTCTCGCACTCAATCTCTTATCTCACCATCTTGCTTGCCTTAGCTGCTTTCACTCACCTCTCTGCCTTTCCTTGTCAACTGTCACTCTTTGTCTCTCCTTAAAATGCTTTGGGCATCGTTGGGCTTAGCCTTCTTCATCGTGCATTCTCTTCTTTTCCAGCGATGGTGTCGGCAACTGAAAGGTATTTTTTAGTTTTTCTTTTTTAGCTACATTTCCAATGATTTATTTTCCATTTTTGCATGCTTTGTTCTATTACTTCTCTTGTTTCAAGTTTTCTTGCCTTGCTCAAACTACTCAAAATCTATCTTGTTTCTAGATATTAGTCATGGTCCTTTATTAAAGAAAAAAAATCTGGCCTTAATGATGTTCACTTTGGAAGGCTCAACAAGGTAAGAGGACAATGATGTTGTTTGGCTCAATTTTTTTTAGAAAAAAGGAAGGTCTCGTAATCCGGTGGATCAAGTCTAACCTAGTCTAGATGTCGAGTTTAATAAGACTGAACCAATCCTCAAACTGAAAATTCTAGCCTGATCTCCATTTAGACTAGACTTTGGGTTGGCATCCAACTTGATTCAGCCCGGTATTTATGCAATCCTATTAAAAACCCTATAATGATGATGATGGATTTATCTTTTGCCCACTATGCCCTAAGAAGAATAGTTTCTACCATGACCAACTTATACTTATTGTATCAAAAAAATATAAGAATATTTAAATTCTTTTTCAACTTTTGAACTTTTATTAATTTTATTTACTTTAGTTTGGTTTTGACCCATCTCATTTTCATCCCTACTATAAACACTAGATAAACAAAATAAGTAGGAGATTGGGCTAACCATCCAGGCTTTTGAATAATTGTAATAGTAATACTTATTTATATGACACCATCTTGGTGTGACTATATTAGAAGGTAATGAACAACAAGATTAGGGTAATAGGTTTTTAAGCATCTAGGGTTCTCTTCTTGCCCTCACATTTTCTTGTTTCTGAAGCTTGTCTTCTTGTTAGATGGGGTATTCTAATGTGTGGAATTCTCATCCTAAGAACTACGATCCTAACTCTAGTACCTGGTAAAGGAAATTTTGTATTTCTCAACTCATCATATTATGGATTTGGCTTGCCTTTTCTCATTACCTTCATTTGGGCATATTTTTAAAGGCGTTTATTTCAAGTGTCAAGTTATCATTGAATCAGTAAAGCAATGGTTGAATCACTGCTTTGTGTTTCTGATTATAAGTATATTAGCAATTGAAGTTGTAACATCCTAAAATTTAATCCAAGATTAATTAAGTTAATCAAGGGCAAATGAATGATTTTAGAGAAATATTTAAATATAAATAATTTTATTTAAGAAATTATTATTAGATTTAATTTAGTATAAATCCAAATTTTAAGTTATAATTTTTTTTAGAAAATAGAATTATTATTATTATTATTATTATTAAAAGACAAAAGAAAAGGTGAGGAGCAAAAGCTATGGGACCCATGCTATTTTTAAAAAGGCCAACAAAACCTTTTGGCTTTTCATTCTCTTCTTCCTTTTCGTTTCTGCTTTCGCACACAGAGAGCGAGCGACGCTATGGCGGTAGGAGTTGATTTAAAAGGTAAAGCTCCATAATAAGATACTTCAGATGAGATTTTAAGTATTCTAAAACTAGATAAGTGTTCTAAATATTTTTTAGTCATTTTTTCCTTTGAACTGCAGATTTTAATATTTTGAAAAACTTAGGGTTTGAAAGAGGGATGAATTTTTTATGAGTAAATCTAGTTGTTGAGGTTGTTAGTAGTGTAATAAATATTTTAGAGTATTATTTTGTTGATAAAATTGAAATTTGAGGCATTTGAATTTATCCCTAAATCCCTATGGGTAGATTTTTGGTTAAATCTAAAAATATAAATTAATTTATTGATATTTAGATGATTATTTGAGATAAAAAAATAAATTATTATGGCTGTAGAATAATGATTCTAAGCTTGAAATTAAGTTTGCAATTTTTGGATATTTTTTATGTGCGAATTTTTGAAATAAAAAGGAAAATTTTGACATTAAAAAATTATTTGAATAAAATTATTGTGAAAGGGACTATTGAACCAAGTAGATAGGTTTAAATACATGAAATTAAATTTTAAAACTTAAAAGGCTGAGACTAAGGTCTTAAAAAAATAAAATAAAATAAAATAAATACTTAGGTGTTAGAGTATGAGTGAAAATTGTGTTAATAATATTATTGACACATTGGGACATGATCAATTATAGATTAACTTCCTTT